GCCAATCTGCGCTGAGGCCTGACACCGCTCATTGCAGGGCCGGTGGGGGGGGTGGGGGAAGCTCGCTGGGCAGGGGCCTGCAGCTGGTGATGCCTCCCCTTGACCCTGCTCTCTCTCCATGCTGCCTGGATGGGCCTTTGCTGAGACCCCATGCAACTCATTGCTCATGCCATCTTGCGCGTCTCCCCGGTGTCATTTCTGTCCTGAGGCCTAACAGGCAGCCTGGTGGCGTGCACCGTCCCCACCTGCAAGCAGGTGTCCTGGGGGAGCGCCAGGCGCAGCTCATGACCATCCCTAATGTGGAGCCTGGACACCAGCAATGAGGCCGGCCCCTGGTTTCCATCGGCGTAGCAGAGATCCCCCGTGTTAACGCCTGGCCCAATCCTAGCATGCATTTCTGTTTTTCTGGCTACACGCACCATCCCTTGCTGAGGCTTGACACCGCCCCGCTCTGCTATATTTTACTATCTCAACAGTTACTTGCCTGATTCCTTAGCCCCCTTTATCAAGGCTGGACTCAGCTCATTGCATGCACTATGTCATTAGCGGGTGTATCCTGTGCTAAAAACCCCATTGGCATGCATTACCATTAGTGGGTACATCCCATGCAAAAAAACCCATTGCACGCACTGTATCTTTAATGGGTATATCCTGTGCTAAAAACCCCATTGCACACATTACCATTAGTGGGTACATCCCGTGCAAAAAACCCCATTGCACGCACTGTATCATTAGTTGGTATATCCCGTGCTAAAAACCCCATTGCACGCACTGTCACCTTACCATTAGTGGGTATATCCCGTGCTAAAAACCGCATTGCACGCACTGTATCATTAGTTGGTATATCCCATGCTAAAAACCCCATTTACACCTTACCATTAGTGGGTATATCCCGTGCTAAAAACCGCATTGCACGCACTGTATCATTAGTTGGTATATCCCATGCTAAAAACCCCATTTACACCTTACCATTAGTGGGTATATCCCGTGCTAAAAACCGCATTGCACGCACTGTATCATTAGTTGGTATATCCCATGCTAAAAACCCCATTTACACCTTACCATTAGTGGGTATATCCCGTGCTAAAAACCCCATTGCACGCCTTACCATTAGTGGGTACGTCCCATGCTAAAAACCCCATTGCACGCACTGTATCATTAGTGGGTACATCCCGTGCTAAGAACCCCATTGCACGCACTTTATCATTAGTGGGTACATCCCATGCTAAAAACCCCATTGCACACATTACCATTAGTGGGTATATCCCGTGCTAAAAACCCCATTGCACCCACTGTATCATTAGTTGGTATATCCCGTGCTAAAAATCCCATTGCACACCTTACCATTAGTGGGTACGTCCCGTGCTAAAAACCCCATTGCACGCACTGTATCATTAGTGAGTACATCCCGTGCTAAAAACCCCATTGCACGCACTGTATCATTAGTGAGTACATCCCGTGCTAAGAACCCCATTGCACGCACTGTATCATTAGTGGGTACATCCCGTGCTGAAAACCCAAGGAGGCTTGCTAAAGCTTGCTAAAGCCACTGACAAACTGTAGCTGTATTGTGCCTCTGCTGAGCCCTGACAGCTCATTGTATACTTCAGCAGACATATGAGGGCAGAAGGGTCCAAGTTGTCCGAAAATGCTGTGTGTTTTGCCTGTGGAAAGGAGCAGAGTTGTGGACACGGCAGCCTGGCAGGCATACAAGCAGCCAGGGGTTCGTGGGCCTTGTGGAAGAAGTAGGATCACGTGGGCAGGAGCATGGCTGGTGTTAATTGTCAGTGTAAGATAGGGTTTTTGTTTTGTGGCATTTATTTATTTATTTGTGTTGACA